AACGAATATAAGAAAGGTGGCCGGCTTTATGTTGAGTCTGTTCACTAAAATTCCTGTGTATGATGCCATACAGGCCATAAAATCCACATTATACCAACATGCAGACATATTAATGGGCAAGAAGTTTGGTAAAGGGTCAATAATGATACTGATCAACTTAGCGATGTACTGTACGTATTTTAGCTTTAATGGTAAATTGTGCTAACAAACACTATGCTTGGCTGTGGTATCGTGTCTGTCACCCATCTTAGCAAATAATTCATGGCTCAATTTGAGGAACGCTTAATTCAATAAGCACTTTTTGCTCCACAATTATTACTCCGCAATATTTTGCTGTCTAGCAATGTGTCAAAGAAAACCTGGAGAATTTTCTTGGTTTAATGAACAGAATCGATGGCAGTGAGAAAAGTAAGGTGGTCTACCTTTTCTTGATGTCCAGATTAAGTAGAGATGAATATAGTAAAACCACAAATTCATGTTCCCTTTTGAATTTCTTCTCCAACCACACTTATGAGGTTAAAGTAGGATTATGAGGTCTAATATAATAACAAGCCTGCGTCCGGTAGATTTTAAGCATCGAGAACAGGAACTGAGGAGATTAAGGAGAATTCTGGTTGATATTAAGTATCCAAGAGAGCTCCTTGACAATAATGTTAGAATATTGTTGAATAGAATGAAGGGAAACAAATATTTAAAACTTGATAAAAAGATAGATAACCAAAATCATTACGCTGCTATCGTTTTATTTCTCGAAGAAGATAGGCGTATTACTGAGGTATGACATCAGGACCATTTATAAAGAGAAAAGAACACTTTCCTCGGTATTGCCGATCCATTCTACAGATCGGGATCTTATAAGATTTTGTTCTCATCTGGTAGTGCGTATGTTTGAGAGACCTGTAAGCCCATAAACCTCAGCAAGGGGTCTAAAAATCGGAATTGGCCGAATACGGCTCACACAGGACACAAGATAAATTTATCTAATGCCAAACGCTTAGCGAAGGATTAGGGAGGCGATAGAAATCAACAAAACAACAAACACCATGAATAGGAGGAACGAGTGTAGGAAGTTAAGATGAAACTATTTGCGCCTGTTGGATAGGTTTAGAGATAGGGAGGTTCGTACGAGAAGTACCACCAAGCAAGTGGAGGAGGCCTGATTAGGCTTGAATCACATCATGCTCATTTCAAGAGCAACGCACTCACACAACACGTGTGCAATGGGACGAAATCACATGCGGTAAGTTTGCAGGATAGAACCATAAGTGTTTTAGGCGAGTTTGCAGCTGTTCGGTTTCAATTCATGCATAATCTGTAGTCACTTTACGAGTCATCCGTAGCCACTTAACTTAATTTAGGATAAACATAAAGGCAGAACATAGGACATCAAACCCAAACATGAAATTCTTAAGTGTTACCAAATTGAAAGGAAGTAAGCTTGAAACTGGCCATCTTTCTTGTCTTCATGTTTTTGGTGAATTATCGATAACAATGGTGTCCTGCTCTGACGATTTCCGTCATATGACGGACAAAAACTCAATAAGGATTCATCGGGGTCGTAGGGCGCAGCGTCGAGGACCTATTCGCACTATTCTAAAATCACAGCTCCAAAGCAAATCTCCCAGAGCCTCCGGTGAACCAACTTACAAATTCCTTCCACTTGCCTCTTCAAACGAAATGAAAAGTGCTATAACAACAACTATAAATTGATATAATGTGAAGCTGAGTTTGTGCATGAATGCTCACCATGAGAAATATAATGTCTGAAATCGTCTCTTGGTGGTTAGTACCAAAAAATACAAGAGAAGCCCCAACTCCAAAAAAATAGATTTTGCCCTTTACATTTAATCAAAGATTGACCCAGCCGTAATTTTTAAAGAATAAACTAATCGAGCAGGTCCGCATATCGTTAATTTCTCTTTTGATCGAAAAATATGGCTGATCGTTGAGATAGAGATGTTCTAAATTTACAAGTCCAATTTGTAGGATTTTAGATATTAACTATTAGTACCTATACAAAGACAATGGGAAGTTGAGGAAAAAGAAAAAAAAGTCATTAATTACAGTAAATATGATAAGAAATGGAGGGTAGGGCAAAGCATAGTCAGGCCTTAATAAACTTCCATAGCGATATTTAGATTAAAGATATTATAAGAACAGGAAACAGAAATGCACGATAGCAGACTAGTGCTTTCTAGGAATTTTGAGATAAATCAAATAACGGATGAAAAGTAAATACCATTACTAGTTCAGACAGAAAGGTAAAATAAATAAAATACACAATCTGTGTATCTGTCTTAAAGAAAAAAACAAATACATTTTTACAAAAGAACTGGAAGTGAATTTGGCACAAAGTGATTCCTTTAGTAACAAAATGAGAGGATACAACAGGCAATTTAATTAAGGTAAAAAAGTACTGTGTAGGTTATTCAGATGACACAAGTGGATACTGGAACTTACAAGAATCGGCAACTGAGAGCTTGGTTGAACTAAGCTTAGCATGAGATAATTTTCTAATGAAGAAGTGGAGTAGAGAAAGTAGTTCAAAGTGATTAAAAATAACTCGAAAATATCCTAGGTTCTGTTTTTAAAGCGTCAAGAAACGAGCTCTTCTCGCATACGCAAATCCGATCTATAACTCCAAATGTCTCCGTTCCAGATAAAGTATTTCACTGGAAATGAGAGTCGATGGGCTGCACGGAACTTCTCGCAGACTCGTTGACGCTCTTCTAACTCGCGTTTGCGGTCAGTAGCCATTTTTAAATCGTTGCATTTTAGTGCCTCAGTAACACCCTGCCATAGGCAGCGAGACTCCTCTGGACGTTGGATAGAGGTAGGACGAACAGACTTTTGTCGGACGGGAAGTTGTCGGACATCCACTGACCACTTATGACCCTTTAAAAAGAGAATATTCATTTTATTCAGCGAGACTATGTTGCTATTGATATTGTATCGATAAAGTAAAAAACGATCTTGTAGTTGAGGACATAAATTTGGTATAAAAAGTGCTCAAAACATCAACGCCTTCGTAGCTGTTAAACATTTAAACATCCGAAATATTTTGGAATCAACTAAGAATAATCAAAATTCGGTAAAGAACCATATGGACAACAAATTCAAAATGATATATTAATAAATAAATGCCCAAAAGTTAGTCTGAGAAGCCACATCTAAAATACTTGTAAACTAGGTTCAATAGTGAGCCTAATCAAAACAAGTAGACAACAATATTTGTGGATTGGCACACAAGAGATCAGGGCATAGGAAGTCAGAGACTTGGCGCGATATATTCGGCGGAAAATAGAGCTAGCTAGCTTGATCATGATAATTATTTAGGCTCTTTAACATCAAGTTAGTCTCCAATCTAGCTTGGGAATCATGATTTTTAGGGGCCAATTCAGCGAGGAGGGAGTATGTGTGCCATCAAAGGCTTGATACAATGTGGAAAATAATGCTTTAAGTAGTACAGACAGGGTGGCAGGGGCTTTGAACCAGGAAGGTAGGAGGCGGATCCTACGGGGCAAGAGGGAGGCTGATAAGGCCTATGGAAAGAAGATTATGGGGAAAAGGGGTGATAAAGCGGGCGTGGAGTTTCTAGAGTTCTCATGAAATCAGCTAAAAATGGCACATTGAAATAAGAAATTGTGATACGAGGATATAGGATTGGTGAATGGCCAGGCTGCAAAAGAAGAGATATCACAATTGTTTAGCAGACAATTAGTCAAAGGATCGGCTTCACTTGTATCCTTGACGAGTTGTAGTGTGGTGCTAAGAATGGCAAGGCTAAAACGTCTGGGAATGTACCACGTCCACTGACCAACTGGAAATTATCATCCATACTATGGAGTCCGGATTAGATGCGTTCCTCTAGCTTTACCTACCAATATGACCAAGTTGCGAAAACAAGGTCAAACAACTTCAATTTTTCAAATACTTTAGAAAAAGTTAACGTCAATTTTTAAAAACACAGTTAATACCTAATCTTAATTTAATTTGAATCATACTAATACTTTTAAGCTCATTAATTACTAAAAAAATCAATTTTGATGCCATTGTTATAAATTCATGGTAATAAACAGCCAATGCTTGTACTGACACAAACACTGCGCTGTCATTACAATAGTAATACAAAAAGATCCGAAGTCATGTTAATGAACTGATAACTCGTCATAGTAATCTGAAAAGCTGGTAGTTAATTTACATCACAATTGATAATAATTTATCTTTTAAAACATACATACATTAATGGGTAGAGCACAAATTAAAGGTGCAAAGTGATGGACAATTTATTAAATTTATTATAATTAAATAAAAATTGAGTTTCGTTTAATTGATAAAACGAATCAGTGTCTGCAATGTGCAAAAATTTATATAATGCATTTACCTTGCTAATCCAATCGAATTCAACCAAACTATTCCACTCTCCATGAGCCTTAGCCACAAGTGCTGCACCAGCAATTGAGTCATTGGAATCAGAGGTTTCGCTCAGGGTGTACGTGCTCGGAAAAGTTTTCACTGCGTCAGGTGGATAAAATACTTCAGCGCTGATTCTGTGTAGCTTATTGCCGTAAATAGGCTGGATAAAGCAAAGGCCAAAAAGAACTGAGGGTACAGTTGACAAATAATAGCCAGGACTAAGAAATGAATGTGAAAGCGACAAGTTAAAGTTAATGAGATAAGAGACTTAAACTAAGAAAATATCATTCAAGTGCC